ATTTAAAAATATGTGTACCTAATGCATGCAATGTATATATTTAGTTTCGTTTACTTTCAAATAGCACATAAAGCACCACAGATATTCTGGTTTAGATTAATGGCACAGTTGTTTAAGATTCCAGTCAGAAATCTTTCTTAAATCTCTTTGTAGATGTCCTGGGATCATCATCATGCAAACCTTGTATTTTGATATTGATTTGCAGTTCAGAAAATCAGTACCACCGAATTGGAAGAAGCCTTAGAGCTAAGGAGGTTTCATTATTGTGGTGTCCTCCTAATTAGGAATTGGGGACTTATGGAAGTCACTCACCCTGCCCAGTGCTCAGAATCTGCCAAAGTATTTCAATCCACTATTTGAAAACCTCCAGTGAAGAGGAACCACATTTTCACAGAACTGATTGACAGCTGCTACCATAAGGAAATTCTTTATGTTATATAACCTGAATCTACTTGGTTGTAGTTTCAACTATCTAATTCAAAAGCTGGCATAATATTCCAAGGCAGAATAGAATGGACTGATTACCTACTATGATCTGCACTGAATGTTGTTGGTAATATACAGTGGTGGGATTCAAATACCTGAACAACCGGTTCTCTGCATAGTTGCCACTTCCAGAAGTCCATTCTGAGCCAGGGAGTCCTCCCAGGCCCAGAACAGCCCTCCGGAAGTATGTAGATGCCACTTCTGGAAGTAAGTTCTGAGCCGGGGAAGCCTCCTAGGCCCAGAACAGGCCACCAGAAGTGTGTGGACGTCACTTCCAGAAGTCCGTTCTGAGCCAGAGAAGCTTCCCAGGCCCAGAACGGACTGCCGGAAATGCATGGACACCACTTCTGGTGGGCCATTCTGGGCCTGGGAGGCCTCCCTGGCTCAAAACAGACTTCCAGAAGTGGTGTCCACGCACTTCCCGAGGTCCGTTCTGAGCCTTGTGAAAAAGGGCTAGGGCATCAGCTGGTTCACCAGAGTCAACAAAAAATTAGCTACCAATTCTACCAAACTGATGCGAACCAGCTGAATCCCACCACTGGTAATATATCATATATACTATGTTCTTGGCTCCATGTATACTATGTTTTTCGCTCATGTTCAACTTATGTCTTACTAAAATGCTCAGATTCTTTACATAATTTAAACTATAAGCCATATTTTAAACCTATCTCATCATCTTATACCTATGCCACTCTCCCAAGATCATTCCCCCATTCCATTAAGATTATGCCAATATCATATTTATTGCAGTCTGAAGTGAAATTAAACCATTCTTAGCCTAAAACAGATATAATTGTTCCTTATTAAAAAAAAACACATCACAAAATAGAACATTATTGTAGTTATTGTCATAATAATGCCTATTTAGTAGACCTATAAAGGTTTTGCGAAAGCCAGTTTGGTGTGATGATTAATGCATAAAAGTGGAAACCAGGAGACTGCGAGTTCTAGTCTCACCTTGGGCATAAAGCCAGCTGGATGACCTTGGGCCAGTCACTTTCTCTCAGCTCTAGGAAGGAAGCAATGGCAAACCACTTCTGAAAAACCTTACCAAGAAAACTGCAGGAACTTGTCCAGGCAGTCTACAAGAATCAGACATGACTGAATGGAAAAAAAAATGTTGCTTATGGCTGATGCTTCTACATCCTCATACTTTATGAGTCTATTCCAATACCATTCCCATCACATACATACTCCTGGTTTTTACTTCCATTTTTTTCTCTTTTTGTTTAAATTATTTATTTCAATAAGCATATTCATTCTTTTGTTATGATACTAAGAAACAGAAAATATCTAATACTAGGGAAATAGTCTGAAAAATTCCCTCTGGTAATTTATCTCAATCATAGCCAGAATTTTTCAAGCTCTCAAGGGCTCTTAGTCTGTCAAATAAGCAAAAAGAGTGATGTCAGAGGCTGGAATATGTTTTGGTCCTGCATTTTGCAGCCTTGTGTGGACTATAGAATTACTTAAATGCAAGCAGATTCTTTCTTAGGTTCATAGATATACAGCTAGTTCTCATTTAATTGCCATTGTTCAGCAACCATTCAAAATTACAGTGGTGCTGAACAAAGGGACTTACAACCTGTGCTGAAGTTCTGGCCATAGCAGTACCACCATGGTCACCTAATTGTGATATGGGTGCTTGGCAACCCATTCACACACACAACTGGTTGCGAAGTAGCCCGTGATCATGTGATTGCTATTTGCAATCTTCCTGCTGGCTTCCCCAGAAAGCCAATGGGAAAGCTAGCACTCAAGGCTGAAAGTTGTTGGCACCTGCTGTGGTTTCTGGGGATTGGCTGAAAAAGGTCTATCCCAAAATTGAAGCAGGATTTTGGTACAGAGCATTTAAAACACAGGGCATTTACAATCACCACCACCCCAAGCCAGAGGGAGACTTCTTGTCTCTGGGGTCTGGATCCAAACACTCTGTGCTGTAAACACTCTATGCTGAAAACACTCTGTGTCAAAATCCTGCTCAGATTTTGGATGGACCTTTCAAACCAGCCTCTTTGAGAGCAAAAGGGTTGCCTGCTGGAGGGATTCAGCTCCACACAGGGCTGAGTCCCTCTGGCGGGCAGCTCTTTGGCTCCATTCATTTAGCGACCTAGGAGATCACTTAACAATTTCAACCAGGATGACATTAAATGACATCTTCATAATGACTGCTTTGGTCACTGACTGAAGATTCAGATCTTAATCATGGTTGTAAGTGAAGAAGTACTTGTATCAAGTGATATACAATAATTGTCTAAGGATTGCTAAAATGAGGAAACAAGAAAGCCAGTCCATAAACACAACTAAGTCAGCCAGGCAAGTACCGAAGCTGCTATGTAAACACTTCACAAGACATTGTGTGAGGTATGTTGCTTTCCAGGTGTTGCAATTCAAGATGTGACTGACAGGCTACCAAGACTCTTCAGTTCTACGTACTGGTTGATTGGGTTGCCACAGATATAGTGTATTTAAATTTCAGCAAAGCCTTTGAAAAAGTTTTTCATGGAATCTTTAATAGCAAAATCATAACCATATGAGTTTGACAACTCAGCTATTAGATGGATTCACAATTGGCTCAAGGATCGTACTAAAAAGAGATCAAATCTACCTGGAGAGGCATCTCAAGCAAGGTGCTATAGGGCTCTCTCTTGGGTGCAGTGTGGCTCAATGATATGTAAATGATATGTAAATGATATGGATTTGAGGGAATGCCTATCAATTTTGCTGATGATATAAAGTTAGGAGGATTGGTTAATAATTGGCAGGACAGTGGGGAAAACAATGAGCAGAAACAAATATAATGAAATATAATAAGTTGAAATATAAAATCATGCATCTAGGTAAGAACAAAAACAATATACAGAATGAAGAAAATCTTCTCAAGGGTTGTGCAAGCAAGAAGATTTGGTTGCACTAATAGATCACAAATACAACATGTCTCTACAGTGTAATGTAGTTGTGAAGACAGCAACACCTTGAAGAAGATCAATTCAGATTCTGGAAAGTACTTATCCTACTCCATCCTATCTTAGTCAGATCTCACTTGGAGTGTTGTGTTCTTTTCTGCACAATCCTGTTTTAAAAAGGACATTGATAATCTGGAGTAAGTCCAGAGAAGGCCTGCCATGATGGTGAAAGACTGGAAATCTACAAAGAGCAGTTAAAAGACTAGGTATGTTTAGATTGCAGAAAAGAAGGCTGTGAGGAGACTTGATAGCTGTATTCAAACACTTGAAGGGCTGTCACAATGTAGAGGGTTTGGGCTTATTCTCACTTCTAGATATGTTCCACTACATTCTTTTCCAAAAGATAAGACTAGAATTAATGGGATGAAGTGTCAAGGATGTAGGTACAAATTAAACATTAGGAAGAACTCCTTGACAGTCAGAACTTTCAAACAGTGGAATAGTTTAACACATAGAATTGCTTCTTCCCCTTTACTGGATAGTCATCTATCAGGGATGGTATAGTGAATCCTGCATTAGGTGGGGGATGGGTTGCATATGAGGACCTCTTAGGTCACTTCCAATTTAACAGTTTGATGATTTGTAAGTAGGGGAAGAAATAGAAAAGTAAGCTATGCTTATATTAAGTTTAGCCTATTTACTAGGCTAAAAATTATTAGAAGCCAAATCAAGCAGTAGTTCTCCATAATAGCACTGTTAATACTTCAAGGTTGCTTCCAGATGATATTAATTGATGCCACTCTAGCAAAGCCATCTTTTTTCAAGTTTCAACAAATTCACAATATTCAGTTGTTTGGAAATGAACATTTTTCTCCAGCTTGTACATTTCTTTCAGAATATACCAATTCTGGAGTGACAAATGTTTAAACATTAATGTATACAAACTCTGCACATCTTCATTCCTGGCCCTTCTGAACGCTTTCTTTTAATTCCTATATATAAAATGCAGCAACCATTAGTAAAATTATTGTATCCCTTAAGTTGAAAAAGAACATTTAGGCCATCAAGTCCAGACCATTGCTTAGTGCAGAAATCAAAATTAAAGCAATAGCATCTTTATTTATATGCAAATAGTGGAGACAAACAGTTATTCTTCCACCACCATACACTTTAGCTCAAGAAAGGGGAACTTGCAGTCTGTAGGACTATTTTGCCTGTATGTCTTCTCCCATTTGGCTCAACGCAGCTAAGTAGCTTTTCATTGCTGTTCTGGTTCCTTTTACATGTGGTTCTGAGTACTGCCAAAGAATAACAAAAGTATATAATACTATTTTTTTCTTCTCAGTGTTTTTTTTTGCCTTTTATGTAGCCAATCCTTCATTTAGTTCTATAGCCAATCTAGTTTTTCTTCTCTTAATACATTTTTTAAAAAGGAAAGAAATGGATTTGAAGTCATCTGCCAGGTTGGGAAGGAGGGGAGGATATATTATTTCATTACTTTAAAAAATGCTTTGCAATTCTGTGAAATTTTCTCAAAGTAGCTCAATAGCCTATTGAAACTTTCCTTTTTATTTTGCAGCCTAAATGATGGAATTTTTAACTGAACAGTTATAATCCAAAGAACAGGAATCTCATTGTCTCTCTACCCATGAAAGCCATGAAAAATACATAAACTTCTGTGCTTTTCCTTCCCAGTTGAGCCAGCCAGTATTAATAATGAATCTTACCTCTAATTCTAATTGCAGTGTTTATGACAAACTAGATAAAAGTTTGTTTCCATGTCTCTACAGTATTCTGATGATTATCAGCATTCCTGCTAATCTACTATCACTTTACATTTCCTGCTGTCAAATCCAGAAAAAAAGTGAGCTGGGCATCTATCTCTTCTGTTTATCGTTAGCTGACCTATTATATACTATGACACTACCATTATGGATTTATTATGCTCAGAATGGGGATGACTGGAAATTCTCCCTACAGCTTTGCAAATTATCTGCTTTTCTCCGATATGTAAATTATTACACCAGCTCAGGATTTCTTACCTGCATCTCCATGGATAGGTACTTAGCCATAGTTCATCCTTTGAGGTTCCATTCTTTGCGAACAAGAAGATTTGCCCTGCTGATGTCCTTTTTAGTTTGGGTTTTTGAAATAATGTCAAACGTTCAGATTTTATATAGCACTACATTCTACTACAAAGTTGTAGATGAAAGCAATCATACTTTATGCTATGACACATATCCTCTAAAACAATGGCAAGCTTACTTCAACTATTACCGCATCTGTGTGGGGTATGCATTCCCATTAGCTGTCATGATCTTCTGCTACGTCAAAATATATCAGGCTGTGAAGCACAATCAAGCAACTCAAGACTGTGACAAGAAGAAAATCAATCATTTGTTACTAAGCATCATCATAACCTTTTTTCTTTGCTTTACTCCATATCACATTGTCCTGCTTCTGCGCAGTATCTTGGAGCCGCTTGACTGCTATTATACTGTGCATCTGTTTGTACCTTATAGAATTACAACAGCCTTGACAAGCTTAAATTGTATAGCCGACCCAATTCTTTACTGTTTTGTGAATGAAACTGGAAGAGCAGATATCTGGAACATATTCAAATGTGGTTTTTTTGTCAGCCAGACAGAAGCACAGCAATCCAGTGTTTCACAAAACAGAACAATATAGGTTTCAGAATCTGCAGCATTCATATAATCTAAGAGTAGGTAGCTTGCATCTTCCAAGTATTGCTGAACTACACTGGGAGATATAATTCATCAACATATGGAGTGTTGAGGGGTTTCTGTCTTCAATATATCTTTAATGCTGCATTCTGGCAAAATAAAATGCAAGGAAAGTTTTATTTGTTCTGACATCAACCAAGAGCCAGATCCATCTTCAAATCACAAACAGGAGCTACTTATGAGGATTTGCAGCACACCTTTAAATTATTAAATTCTCCTGCATTTTTTTCTGTTTCTCTCTCAGGAAGACGGAATCTGAATCAGAAGAAAGCCCCGTTCTATCACTCTTTGCTCATTAAAAACCGTTGCATAAATTGTAAACTGAAACTATGTTTGGGATGGACTTATGGTTTGTGTTTTCTATGCTATGAAACTGAAGTATTTGGCTCTTAGAAATGTTTATATCTTGTGCTATATCATTGTATAAAAAATATGGAATTAAATTGAAAGATATTACTATTCAATAGTATTCAACTATTTTGAGGCATAATCGGCTTTACCAATCAGGGGACCTCCAGACATTCTGGACTTCGGTTTTGTGTATGCTTTGAAATTAAACTCTCTTCATTTCAATATTTGAATATTCTTTAAAAGAATGCTTTGTCAGGTATGTAAATTTCAATATGCAAAATGGCAATAAGCCATACATCCCTCTCTTAAGACATGCTAGTAATTTCACTGAAGGATCAGTTCCTAAATTCTAGCTTTTTGAAAAGCCTTTATACATACATTGCAGACAACAATGCTGTACCTAAGGAGACTAACTCTATAATGCTATCATGAGAGTTATTTGGAGAAGAGATACACTAATCATTGTATTTTCAGATCTACATGCTAAGATCAACAGACAGCTGGGGGGGGCAGCTCATAAAAATTGGGAGGGGATAATTGGATTGCAAAAAACTTCCTTTCTCAATGCATTCTCTAACTTAATTTAGATCGTCAAGAGACTATAATTGACATGTTAAAAAGGCATCAAGCCTGCAATGCAGTACTGGGGTTAAGAGCTGTTATCACTGGTTATGTGTTTAGCCCATTGCTGATTTCTTGAACAAGCCTCTTCCTTATCCCTGTTACAGCCTATTCACCAGGATTCACTAAGCATTTCAGTGGGCACACTAGCCTCCATTGCCTTATCTTGTAGGAGTCAACTTGGCAAATAAAGGACATTGGCAATAACAAGGAGAAGTTAGTAATCTACTTGTGATTGTAAAAGAATTCCTAAGATAAATTCTCCTGGGATGGCATTTGGCGGTTTACTCCCAGAAGGACCCATGGCAGGATGAATTGGAGCCACAAGATTTGGTTACTAAATGTTTCTACTTTTCTCAAAATAAAACTGGGAGCTTCCAATTCTTTGACCCTTTAAAAAAGCCCAACATATTTACAAGAGGCTTTCTGCAACACTTTTCAGACTAAATATATGACCACATGCCACATAGTCATTCTAGTAAGCATCAAAGAAAGCTGAGCATCTCTTTGCAAAAAGTTGCATCCTGCACTTTTTAATAATTAATTTTCATATATTTCAATTGAAATGAAATTGGAAGAAATCCCTCAACTGTCCATTTCCATTTGCTCCTAAGCAATCTGTCAATATCTGAGGGAAAAAATATTGAATCTGAAAATTGCCAAATTGGGCAGTAGAAAAACCTCTCTGTCTCTGTCTCCTTCTCTCTCATCTATGTATTGTCTGTCTGTCTGTCTGTCTGTATATCTTACTTTTCTGCATGGAGAGGAAACTGTTAAGTTAAGGTGTTATCAAATTGTAGAGATATACAATAAATGGTATTGGTGTACACTATATTAAATGGTATTGCCTTTCCTTTTTCTTTTTAATCTTTAATTTATTTGGCTTGGGTTTTTGGCTTTGTATAATACTGCTTATCCCCAAAGGAGGATTTAGAGAAGTTCTACGAAGATATAAGCAGTGTACTGAAAACCCTAAAAAGTAGTGATATCGCAATACTCATGGGGGACTTCAATGCAAATTGGGAGAAGGAAGTGATGCTCCTGTAGTTGGAAACTTTGGTTTAGGAACCAGAAATGGTAGAAGTGACAGATTTGTAGACTTCTGCAAGGAACATAGGCAATGTGTGATGAATACTTTTTTCAAGTTGCCAAAAAGACGCCTCTACACTTGGAGATCACCAGAAGATACATGAAATAATATACTAAGGAACCAAATTGACTATTTTACAATAAACAAAAGATTTAGAAACTCAGTAAAATCAGTAAAGACATACCCAGGTACAGATGTACCATCCGATCATAATCTACTACTTGCCGAAGTCCAGCTGAAACTAAAAAGGATGAAAACCCCGAATCCTGCTAAACCAAGAATTGACAGAGACTTCATCATTAAACATGGAGGTAAGATAAAAGAAGAACTAGAAAATCATTTAAGAGAAACCAACAACCTGAATGATGAAGATGTAGAAGTGAACTGGAATAAATTTAAAAATGCAATAGTAGAGGTAACAAATTCAAAACAGAGAGAGGAGTACCACAAGAAACAACAGTGGGTGATGGAGGAAATTCTTCATCTCATGGATGAAAGAAGATCTTATACAAATAAAAACAAAGAAAAATACAATGAATTGCAGAAAACAATTAGAAGAAAAATTCGACTGGCAAAAGAAAAGTGGTTTGCAAAGAGATGCAAGGAAATAGAAGAGGCAGAACGCATGCATGATAATTTCAGTTTACACAAAAAAATGAAAGAAGCAGCAAGCCTCTACAAAAAGAAAACCAATTTAGTTGACAAAGAGGGGGAAATTATCTTAGATGAGGACGAAAAACTAAAAAGATGGAAGGAATATATTGAAGAACTTTTTGAAGACACTAGGGATGATATAGATATGGGAAGTATAACAACTGGACCAAACATACTATGGAGGAGGTTGAGCATGCAATAAAAATAGCAAAAACAAGAAAAGCCACAGGACTTGATGATATCCCAGTAGAAATTTTAAAATTGCTGGAAGACAATGGGAAGAATTTTTTACTGCAGCTCTTCAATCAAATATATGAAACAGGAAAGATACCAAATGATTGGCTAAAATCAACCTTTGTGACAATCCCCCAAAAAATAAATGCAAAGAAGTGTATCAAATACAGAACAATAAGCTTAATGAGTCATGCCCTGAAAATATTCTTGAGAATAATTCACACAAGAATATACAACAAAATCGAGGAGTGTCTAGGTAACACACAATTTGGTTTCAGAAACAATCTTGGTACATGAGATGCGCTGTTCAGCATTCAGGTTCTTGTACAGCGTTGTAGAGATGTCAATCACACTGTTTACATATGCTTCATTGATTCTGAAAAAGCTTTTGATAAAATAAGACACAGCAAACTATTAGAAATCCTGAAACAAGGGGGACTAGATGACAAAGACATCCAAATCATAAAGAATCTGTATTGGCATCAGGTAGCAAATGTGAGACTAGGCCAAAAATATTCAGCTGATGCAGAAATACGAAGGGAGGTCAGACAGGAATGTATTCTGTCTCCACTGTTGTTCAATATCTACTCTGAATCAATCTTCAACAAAGCACTGGAGAACATCGATGCTGGCATCAAAGTAAACGGTGTTTGGATCAACAATTTAAGATATGCTGATGATACAGTTCTGCTTGCCACTAAGCATGAAGACGTTCAGCTCATCAACAGAGTCACAGAAATATCTGAAAAATATGACTTGAAGCTTAACACCTCAAAAACCAAGATCATGGTCATCAGCAAACAACCCGTTAATTTACCACCAATAAATTCAGAAGGAATACCATTAGAAAAAGTTGAAAAGATCACGCACCTTGGTTCTAATTTACATGACCACTGAAGTAAAGACAAGGATAGAGAAAGCTCAAACAGCATTCTTCAAAATGAAAACGGTCTTCTGCAGTCATGACATAAGCCTAAGATTGAAAATCAGGCTTGTCAGATGTTATATTTTTTCTATCCTGCTGTATGGAGTAGAGAGTTGGTCTCTGACAGAAGGCCACCTGAAGAGACTAGAAGCATTTGAAATGTGGATTTACAGGCAGCTGTTAAGTATAAGCTGGGTTAACAAGATCAGAAATGAGGTGATAAGCTGCCTGGGAAAGCCAAGGGAAATCATCAAAACAATTAAAAAACGAAAATTAGAATATTTTGGACATGTGATGCGACACCCAGAAAAGTACGGCATACTCCATTTAATCCTCCAGGGAAAGATTGAAGGCAAACGAGGTCCAGGCAGAAGAAGAACATCATGGCTTCAAAATCTAAGGGACTGGTTTGGACAAAACTCAGCAGCACTTTTTCGTGCAGCTGCTGATAAAAACATGATCGCCAACATGATCGCCAACTTCCGATAATGGAGATGGCACAAGAAGAAGAAGAAGAATCCCCAAAGGGGATAGCATGATGTATACAATATATACATGTTTTGATGTTATTTCCTTTTGCCAATTACATTTAGCTTTAAGTCAGAGCTGCAGTGTATGTTGATATAAGACATAATATAAGAACAGTATTATCCACGTTTTTATGGAGTAGTTTTGGTTAGTGTAGCCTTCAGTCACTCTCTATAAGAAATTCATTAAGCACCTTATATTTTCAATGTACGTATCCTCACTGATCTAGCAGTAAACCAGCAACCACATATAATAATAGAAATCTTTAAGAGCTTCAAAGTGTGTTTTTGAGGCTGTTGATTTGAGATCTTGACCAAGTGAGCTGCTGTGACAGACAGCTGTATGTCAAGAGAGCTCTAATTCAAATCTGTCAACAATAAATAAAAAATCCCATTTTTATTATGGGGTCAATGTGTAATAATTGAGTTACAATAACTTCAGTAATAGAACATATTACCTGGATAATGGAGATATGTTATGCACATTTTTAATTGCATAACATATCTCCATTATCATTCAGGAATAAGCTCCATAGAACATGATGGAATATAATTCTTATAGAAATTAACTGCAAATGTGCATTAAATATTATTCTGGAAATATCATGGGATCAATTTTTAAAACCTAAACTGAATGGCATATTTTATTTATCCAGTTTTATTTATTTATTTATCCAGTGCAGTTTTAGCACATTGTGAACAATAAATATGGACAAATCAGAGGTCTTTATTTAAGGACTGAGTTATGAAAAGTAAATTTGCATGAGATGACTTGACATGAAGGACCTATGATCGCAGTAGCCAAGGAGCATTTGGATCATAACTGCAGCATAGATAATATCCCTTTCCCTTGTTATGGTTTCTCCAGTTTAAATCCCCAAGCTGTGGTCAGTAAACACCTGCAGAAATGATTAAGTCACTAAAATAACATGTGTTTCACATGCAATAGATTTAGCATTTACAACTGGAAAGTTGCTGTCAGATAGGATATCTGTATAGGATGCCAATGCAGAT